TAGGGTTTAGTGACTAGGGTTTGGGGTTTAGGGTTTAGGGAGGAGGGTTTAGGGAGGAGGGTTTAGGGCTTGTGGCTCACTGTTAAGGGTTTAGAGTTTAGGGTTTAGTGATCAGCGTTTAGGGTTTAGGGTTTAATGATAAGGGTTTAGGGTTTAGGGTTTAGGGTTTAGGGTTTAGGGGTCTCCTGGTGTCTGCCAAAAGCACACGAAAAAACGCGAAAAAAAACAAAACAAAAAACCAAAAAAGCAAACAAACAAATAAACAACAAACAAATAAACAAACCAACAAACAAATAATAAATATATAAATAAATAACAAAATAAATGAATAAATAAATAAATAAATAAATAAATAAATAATAAATAAATAATAAATAAATAAATCTCACCTTGGCCGAAGTAATGGTGCACTGGAGCTGGCGTTTGTGGTGTCTGTACAGCTCGAGAAAAGCAGCAATAATGTTTTTGAGGTTTTGCAAACGCTTATTAGCAGCAGCAGCAAATAAGAAGTTGCTGCTGGTTTTGGAGAGTTTAGCAGCAGCAGCAAGCTGCTGCAGCACGGCCTGCTTCGTGTCTGCTGCCAGGCCAGCAGCAGCAGCAAAAGCTGCGAAGTCGCGGCTCTGCTGCAGCAGCTGCAGCAGCAGCTGCAGCTCCTGCTGCACCTGCTCCACGTTTCCTGCTGCGCTGCTGGCAGCAAATAGTGCATGCGCGTACCGGCCCTCCACGCTGTGCCGGCTGAACTTGCTGCTGCTGCTTATGCTGCTGCTCAAGCTGCTGCTGCTGCTGCTGCTGCTGCTGCTGCTGGCCGCGGCGGTGGAGAAACAGAGCGCGGAGGCGCGCGGAAGCGCGCAACTCAGAGCAGCAGCAGCAAGCTGCTGCTGCTGCTGCTGCAGCAGCGGCTGCTGCAGCGGCTGCTGCTGCTGCAGCGGCTGCTGCAGCCGCAGCGAGAGCCCAGGTGTACGCACACCTGCAGCTGCGGCGGCGCGGGCAGCGCCGAACGCCGGAATAGGGAGCATTCCTCGGGAGTTATTTGGATGAAAAGGTTTAAACAAAGAAAAGAAATAAAAATAAAGTAATTTAATTCGAAAATTGAAACAAAAAGCAGCAAAAAAGAGCCGAGAAAGCCGCGAAGTCGCAGCGGCTGCCGACGCCGCTGCTGCGGTGCATGCAGCAGCAGCGGGAAGCAGCAGCCAATTGCTGCTTGTTTAAAGCCTTTTTCTCTTTTATTTATTAAAATTAATTCAATTTTACAATTTAGTTCTTTCATTTCTTTTATTTCTTTTAATTCTTTTCAATTTCGACCTTTCGGGCCCACACACTCAAAGCCACCCCCGCCACGCACACACTCTGCATGCGCCCAAAGCCCCAACTTACAGGTGAATAAATAAATAAATAAATAAATAAATAAATAAATAAATAAATAAATAAATAAATAAATAAATAAATACATAATAAAAATAGTATTTTTTTTTTGTTATTACATTTATAGGTTCTGTGTTTCTACTTTTAATTTTATTTATTTTTGGTTTTATTTATTTGCATTTTTACTTTTATTATTTTGCTTTTATTCTTTTTGTATTTCTAGTTTTTAGTTTGCAGATAAATACTTATATTTATTTTTGTAGTTGTATTTGTAGTATTCTTTATTTTTTTAGTTATTTATATTTGTATTAATATTTATCTTTATATTTATTTTTAGGCTTATTTATATTCAGGTTTATATTTATATTTATATTTATATATATATATTTATATTTATATTTATATTCATATTCATATGTATATTTATTAAAAATATTTAAAAGTTGAACAAAAGTGATATAAAAGCAAAGGAAAAAAAAGTATTTAAAATTTGATATAAAAATAAATACGAATTTAAAAATATATTTATTTCACTTAATGTTATTTCCGTATTAACATTTGCACCACTTTGCATTTATTTTTATTTGTTTTATATTATTTTATATTATTTTATATTTATTTTATATGGTGTAACACTTATTTTGTACTATTTTATATTTATTCTGTATTATTTTATATCATTTTATATTTATTTTATGTTATCTTATATTTCTTTTGTATTATTCTATATTTATTTTATATCATTTTATATCTATTTAATATTTTTTTATATTTATTTATAGTATTTTATATTTATTTTATATTATTTTATTTTTATTTTTAATCCGAATTACTTTTGTCATAATGTGCTATTTGTAATAGAAGACATTTCTCTTTTTAACGAAGCTTATATTCTTTTTGTAACTTTATTTGTTTTATTTTATCTATTTTATTATTTTATTATTTTACTTATTTTATTTTATTTTATTTTACTATATTTTATTCATTATGCATTTATAATTTAATTTGTGTGTTTAATTTAATATCTTTGAATTTAATCCAACTTAATTAAATTTGTTCTAGTTAATCCAATATAATTTAGTTCAATTTAATATAATGTAATATAATATAATTTCATTTCATTTCATTTCATTTCATTTCATTTAATTCAATTTAATTTGATTTAGTTTCTGCGTTTATTGAGTGTGCATACACCTCAGACAACACACAGCAAATGAAGGCAAAAGTAATGAAAGAAAATTTAAAAATAATTTAAAGATAAATAAAACGAATAAAATAAATAAAATAAATGAAATAAATAAAATAAATGAAATAATAAAATTAATAAAATAATAAAGTAAATAAAATAAATGAATAAAAAGAATAAAATAATAAATATGAAGGCATATAATTTGTGTGCTTTTAGACTTCGAGAAATTCGGGTAAAACTCGAGCAGCAACTTTTGTGCTGCAGCAGTAAGTTCTGCTGCTGTTTTTGCTTTTGAGCTGCTGCTGCTGCTGCTGCTGCTGTAGCAGCAGCTGCTACTAAGCTGCTGCTGCAGCAAGAAGCAGCAAGGAAACAAATATTGTGAAATGAATCAAAGCCAACAAAAATGCTTTTAAACATAATTATACCAGCAGCAGCAGCAGCTGAGTCAGAAAGTACCATCGCAGCAGCAGCAGCAGCAGCAGCAGCAGCAGTGTGTTGCTGCTGTGACCAGTGGTCAGGTCCCCAGGATCACTTTTGTGCAACTTTTCGGATTTTTGTCTGAAATTTGACTTTTAAAATTAAAATAAAAAATAAAAACGAATTAAAAGTATTTTGAAGTTCTTTTTATTCGTTTTCGAGACCAGCAGCAGCAGCAGCAGCGGCAGCAGCAGCAGCAGCGCCGCCGCGACGCCGGCGGCCGCAGTGCGGCCAGCGCCGAAACTGGGGCAAATAAACCCCAAAATTGACGAAATAAAAACTAAATAAAATAGAAAATATAAATTATAAATAAATAAGTAATAATTTGACTTTTGAAGATAATTAACATGCACACCAGCGCCGTCCTCTGCTGCGCGCTGCTGGCAACCGCCCTGGCAGCAGCAGCAGCGCCTCTAGCTGTCAATACACCCCAGCAGCAGCAGCAGCAGCAGCAGCAGCAGCAAGTTGAAGCAGCAGCAGTTCCCAGCAGCGGGGGGGAGTCCGCTGCGGGGGCCCCCCCCCTTGGGGGCCCCAAGGGGGGCCCCCAAGGGGACTTGGGGGCCCCTGAAGGCTCTCCTCAGGGGGCCCCCGCCTCTGCTGTTGCTGCTGCAGAGCAGCAAAGGCAGCCAGCAGCAGCAGCAGCAGCAGCAGAAGGGGGGCTCTCTGTGGCTGAGAGAGTGCGGCAGCAGTTTCACAACAGAAACATCTTTGGGGAAAGTGAGTCTGCAGAAGAAGCAAAAAGAGAAATAAAAAAAGAAATAAATAAAGAAATAAATAAAGAAATCAAAAAAGAATTAAATGAAGAATTAAATGAAGAACTAAATGAAGAACTAATCAAAGAAGAAGACACAAAGCCGAAGGTCACTTGCGTTTCAAACTGCTCCATGCACGGTGAGCCGAGGGTTTAGGGTTTAGGGTTTAGGGTTTAGGGTTTAGGGTTCGGAGTTTGAATTTGGGGCCTTAGTTTTAGGGTTTTAGGGTTTGAGGTTTAGTTTTTAGGGTTTAGGGTTTAGAGTTTAGGGTTTATCCGGGAGACGTATAACATATATTCCAATACTGCTTCTGCTGCTGCTGCTGCTGCTGCTGCTAATTTTTCTCCATTGCTGCTGCTTCTGCTGCTGCTACTGCTACTGCTGCTGCTCCTGCTGCTGCATTAACTCTGCTGGTGCTACTGCTGCTGCTGCTGCATTAACTCTGCTGCTGCTGCCTGTGCTTCTGCTGCTGCTCCACTTTGCCTCTGCTTCTGCTGCTGCTGCTGCTGCTGCTGCTGCTGCAGGCGTGTGCACCCCTTACGGGTGTTTGTGTTCGCCCGGGTGGGAGGGTTTTGACTGCAGCAGCAGCAGCAGCTGCAGCAGCAGCTGCAGCAGCAACGGGGTTTGCGTAAATGGGGTTTGCAAGTGCAGCGAAGGGTTTACTGGCGAAGACTGCTCGTGAGTTTATTTATTTGATTATATTTATTATTTATTTATTATTTATTTACATTTATTTATTATTTATTTATTTATTCATATTTATTATTTATTTATTTATTTATATTTTTACTTATTATTTATTTATTTATTTATTTTTGTTTCAGAGAAAGTGCTCTTGAAGACGCAGACACCTCAGACTGCCCCAGCGGCTGCAGCGGAAATGGTAAAATAAATAAATAAAAAACTTTTATTTATTTATTTATTTATTTACTATTAATTAATTAATTAATTAATTTGTTTATCCGTTACTAGTTAATTAATTAATTAGTTTATTTATTTATTTATGTATGTATTTATTTATTTATTTATTTGCAAAAAAGCCAATTAGTGGAATAAAAGGACCAGAAAAAACCACTTAAAGAAAACCTCCCTTAACAATTCCTTCATTTCCTTTTCAACTAACCAATTTAATTACAATCAATTTATTTATTTATTTATTTATTTATTTATTTATTTATTTATTTATTTATTTATTTATTTATTTATTTATTTATTTATTTATTTATTTATTTATTAAAAGGCTCCTGCGATCCAGTACTTGGGACCTGCAAATGCGACGAGGGATTTATTGGGCGATTTTGCTCGGAGCCAAAATGCCCAAATGGCTGTTTGGTATTTAATTTGATTTAATTAATTAATTTAATCCAATTTAATTCATTTAATTTAATTTAATTCATTTAATTTGATTCATTTAATTTAATTCATTTAGTTTAATTCGTTTAATTTAATATAATTCGTTTAATTTAATTTAATTCGCAGGTTTGTTTGGTTTAGCGCAAACGCCAAATTCCCTCTTTTCGTTTTTCTTTGCCAATTTGATTCATTTAATCAAATTTATTTATTTATTTATTTAATATTTATTTATTTATTTATTTATTTATTTATTTATTTGTTTGTTTATTATTTATTTATTTGTTTGTTTGTTTGTTTGTTTGTTTGTTCGTTTATTTATATATTTCCATTTATTTATTTATTAACTAATCAATTCATTCGTTTATTTATTTATTCATTTATTTATTTATTCATTTATTTATTTATTTATTTATTTGATTTATTTATTTATTTATTTACTTACATTTTATTTTTTTGAATTTGTTTTCAGCCCAACGGGTCTTGTGCAGCAAATGGCCGCTGCGTCTGCAATTTGGGGTTTGGGGGGGCAGGTAAAATAAATAAATAAATAAATAAATAAGTAAATAAATAAATAATAAACAAATAAATAATTAAATAAATAATAAATAATTAAATAATTAAATAATTAAATAATTAATTACAGTTCCTACAACTTATAGTACAACAAATAACCAGCCGCCAGCAGCAGCAGCAGCAGCAGCAGCACAGCAGAGCATTTGTTTATATATTTGTTATTTTTAATTAATTAATTAATTAATTAATTAATTAATTAATTAGTTAATTACTCAATTAATTAATTAATTAATTAATCTTTTATCTATTTTTTATCGTTGCTGCAGACTGCTCTCAAGAGATATGCCCAAACAACTGCAGGTAATTGCTGCTTCTGCTGCTGCTGCTGCTGCTGCTGCTGCGTTTTTTTTCCTGCTGCTGCTTTTTTCGTGTTGCTGCAGTTTTGCTGCTGTGGCTTCTGGCTTGCTTCTTCTGCTCACTCTTCTTTATTCCCGTGCCGCTGCAGCAGCAGCAGCAGCAGCAGTGGCTGCTGCTGCTGCAGGCTTAAGGGTTTAGGGTTTAGGGTTTAGGGTTTAGGGTTTAGGGTTTAGGGTTTGTTTAAATTGTTCAGCGGCCTTGGGATATGCAGCAGCGTCGGCTGTCTCTGCTATGAAGGTAAACAGCAAAAGTAATTTCTTAAAATTTAAAAATAAAAATTGAAAAAAGAAATTATAATTACAATTATAGTTGTACTTATAAATATAATTATAATTATAATTATAATTGTAATCATAATTATAATTACAATTATAAATTTAATTTTAGGTAAAAATATAAAAAGATATTTTTATTATATTTATAAATTTAATTCTAATTCAAAATATAACCATAATTGAAGTTTAATTGTAATTATAATAACAAATTGAATTGTAATTAAAATTATAATTAAAACTAAAAATGTAATTACAATTATAAATATAATTATAAGTCTCTACTATAAATGTAAATATAATTAAAGATTTAATCATAATTTAAAATGTAATTATAATTTAAACTGTAATCATAATTTAAAATATAATTACAATGAAAAGAAATACTTGTAATTAAAATTGTAATTATAATTCCAAATTTAACTATAAATATTACTAGAATTATAATTCAAAAAATAATTTTAAATATAATTAAAATTGCAGTTAGAATTTTAAATGCAATTAAAAAAGAATGTAAAGCTGAGTCTGGATTGCAATTAAAAACATTTCATTTATTTATTTTTTATTTGTTCATTTATTATTTGTTTTTTCATTATTTGTTTATTTATTTACTTGCTTATTTTTATTTTTATTTTTATTTTTTATTCTTATTTTTATTTTTCTTTTTGTTTTTAGGCAACGCTGGGACGGACTGCAGCAAACCGCAGACGGCGACGCAGTCAACTCGTAATTAAAATTAAAACTTGAAAGTTAATTAATTAATTAATTAATTAAAACTAAAATAATCAAATAAATGGCATGAAGCAGTTAATTAATTAGTTAAATAATTAGTTAGTTAATTAATTAATTAATTAATTAATTAATTATTTAACTAATTAATTAATTAATTTACTTCATACTATTAATTAATTAATTAATTAATTAATTAATTAATTAATTAATTAATTAATTATAGTTATTTATTATATTTTTGTTCACTTAATTTTTTTTTTTGCAGCTTTTGCCTGCTCGACTGATCTCGACTGCTCAAATAGAGGCTCTTGTGAAGAAGGTAAATTAATGAATTAATAAATAATTTAATTAATTAAATAATTAAACAATTAATTAATTAATTAATCAATTAATTAATTAGCTAATTAATTAGTCAAATAATTGGACAACTAATTGACTAATTAATTAATTAATTAGTTAGTTAGTTAAATAAATAAATGAATAAATAAATGAATAAATAAATGAATGAATAAAGTACTTAGTTGATTAATTAAATTACTTGATTAATTGACTAATTAATTAAATAAATAGATTAATTAGTCAATTACTTATTTGATTAATCTATTCATTTAATTAGTCGATTCATAAATTATTTAATTAATCAGTTATATAATCATTTTATAGATGAACTATTTAACTTTTAAATTAATTAAAAAAGTAAATTAATTGCTCATTCGAATTAACTACTGCTTTGCGTTTTCATCCATTTATTATTATTCATTTGTGTAATCTTTTATTATTAATTGTTTATTATTTATTTATTTATTTATTTATTTATTTATTTATTTATCTATTTTCTTTTTGTCTCAGGGCGATGCATCTGCAACACAGGTAAAGGCAGCCGAATTTCAAATTTCAAAATAATTTAATTTAATTAAAACGATTAATTAAATTTAATTCAAATGTAACTCAATTTCAATTAAATTGAAACAGTTTTGATTAATTAGATTCAGTTCAATTAAATCAAAATTATTAGTGAAGTTAAATTAAAACAAATTAACTCGAAATAACAAACTCGGATTATTTGAAATCGAAGTAAACAACTAAACCGTTCATGAACTTCCTATTTGTTTATTTGTTTGTTTATTTTTTGATTTACTTAATTAATCAATTAATTAATTACTTATTATTTGTGTATGTATTTATTTATTCATTTATATATATATTCATTTATTTATTTATTATTTGTTTATTTATTATTTATTTATTTATTTATTCATTATTTATTTATTTTTTATTATTTATTTTTTTATTTTTTTATTTTCTTTTAGGTTTCCAGGGGGACTGCAGCGAGTTGCGGCGAGACATTTTTTCGGCAGTTTGCAAACGGCGGGGGAATTTGTATTTGAATCTTTTTGAATTTTCTTGATTTTTTGTTTGTTTTGTCTAAAAATGAAAAAATAAACAAATAAAATGAATTGGAATCAAAAGCTCTTCAAAAAAGAATCAAAAGTGTCCATTTATTTGCAGTTTCCGTCGACTTTCGCCTTTTGCTGCTTGTGGGCTGAGGTGTACGTACACCTCGGCAGCGCAACCCTAGACAAAATGGATAAACAATAAATGCATTTCACAGGAAATTAAATTGAAATAAATCCAATTATAAATAAATGCATTTAAAAAAGAAAATCAGACTCAATGAATTGCCTTTTATTGTCTTTTATTTCTTTATTTTTACTTTTTTGTTTTTTTCATTTTCGGCAAAAAACCATCTTTGGTAAATCCACTTTTGCGTTTCTCTTGGCTTTTCAACTTCTGCCTCTTTTATTTATTTATTTATTCATTTATTTGTTATTTATTCATTTATTTCTTTGTTTGTTTATTTATTTATTTGTCATTTATTTAATTATTCTTCATTACTTATTGATTATTCATTTTTATTTGCAAAGAAATGAATCAAATCTGAGAGCATTTTCTTTTCTCATTCTTTTTTTGTTCATTTACAATTACAAACAAAAGACATTATTCCTTATTCCTTTTTCTTTTGCTGCTGCACTTACGATTGCTGCTGCTGCTGTTTTGCTGCTGCTGCTATTTTGCTGCTGCTGCTATTTAGCTGCTGCTGCTGCTGCTGCTATCTTGCTGCTGCTGCTGCTGCTGTCTTGCTGCTACTGCTGTTTTGGCTGCTGCTGCTGCTGTTCTGCTGCTGCTGCGCTGTTGCTGCTTCAGTGCAGTAAATGGGCAAGAAAGAAAAAATTTGAAAAATTAAATAAATTTGAAATGAATAAATAAAGACAAATTAAATAAATTTGAAATTAATTAAAACTATTGCAAAAAATGTTTCTTTTGGCCTTTGTATCTGTTTACCCGTTCTAGGTGCTGCTGCTGCAGCAGCAGCAGCACCTCGCAGTAGCAGCAGCAATTTGAAGAAAGCAACAGCAGCAATTTGAACAGAGCAGCAGCAGCAATTTGAAGAAAGCAGCAGCAGCAATTTAAAAGCAGCAGCAATACAAACAGCAGCTGCTGCAACAGAACCTTCAGCTGCGACAGCGGCGGTGACTGCAGCAGCGGCGCCATGAGCAGCAGCAGCAGCAGCAACAGCAGCGGTAGCAGCAGCAGCACCTGCCGTTGCTGCAGTTGCTGCTGCGGCTCTTTGCTTCAACTCAAGTTTATTTAATTTGAATCCGTTTAATTAAACTGAGAATTCGCTGCTACTTCCAGACTGCGCAAGAGCAGCAGCAGCAGCAGCAGCAGCAGCAGCAAAACAGCAGCAGCAGAACATCAGCAGCAGCAAAACAGCTGCAACAGGAGCTAAGGGACTGCTGCTGCGACTGGCAGCAGTGGCAGCAGCAAAACAGCAGCAGCAGCAAGAGCTCAGGTCCTGCTGCTGCTTCACACAGCAGCAGCTGCCGCTGCTGCTGCCTCTGCTGCTGCTGCTGCTGCTGCTGCTGCTCCAG